TTAGGGTTTAGGGTTTAGAGGGACCCGAAGGTCCAAGTGAAGGATCCCGAAAAGGAGCCCTAAACTCCCCTAAACCCTACCCTGAAGGATGCCTTAAAGGAGCCCTACACCCTACACTTAAGGTTCCCTCAAGGGTACTTGCAAGGAACCCTATACCCTACCCTAAAAAATTTCCCTTAAATGTACTTGAAAGGAACCCTACACCCTACCCTTAAGGGTTCCCTTGACGTTACGTAAAAGGACCCCTGAAGCCTACCATTGAGGGTGCTCAAAAGGAACCCTAAACCTACATTTAAGGGTACTTCAAAGGAACGAACCGTTAAAGGACACCTCAAACGGAACCGAAGGCAAGGACCCCTTCAAAGAAAAAATCCTCCCCCGAACATCTCTCCGGTGCTGACGGAAGGCGACAAACTTCTGCAAGCAGCACCGATCCTTTGCGGAGGTCCTCCTGAGACTTGGCCCCCGCACTCTTAAAGTATGGAGGGTTTATATAGGATGTTAAGGCCTGGGGTATGGGGCTCTAAACCCTAAACCCCTAAACCCTAAACCCTACACCCTGATATAGAGGCTAAGGGTCTTTTAGGTTTTAGCACCCCGGGCTTCTTTCTCGGCCCCTGTATACGTCTCTCTTTGTGTGTGTGTGTGTGTTCTCTCTCTTTCTCCCGCTCTCTCTTCCTCTCTCTCTGGCGCTAGATCTATGTCTGTCTGCCAGTTTATTCTCTTGCGGCCGATGTGTCTATGAATCCATCTGTCTACCTATCCAACTAACTATCTATTCATCTGTCTATCTATCTTTATCTCTTACTCTCTAGGAGCCATTCCACATTGTTTGCTGCTAATTAATCTACAACATCCTGCGTACACGTACTCGCGCTGGGGCGTGTATGTACAGGAATGTAGCTGTACAAGACTCCCGACGCTGCACACCCCCACAAGACGCACCCGCCAAACTTCATCCATCCGGCGACATGGGGCTTGCGAGCATGTCTCGTGTCGGGGATCAAGAAGATATCTGCTCACAGATTCGCGCAGATGGACTGGTGACTGGTGCTTTGTTGGCGTGTGTGTGTGCGCGCACGTGTGTGTGTGTGTGT